TAGGAGAACCGTCGTTGAGGATGATACAATTTGAAGTTAGGATGGCGTCTTCAATACTTCGGCCTTTTACGTTCGTATGAGGAGAACCCCATAGAGGGCTCCACGCGTTAAAGTCGCCAAATAATACAAATGGATCGGAACTGAGGAATAGTAGATTAAGGAAATCGGGTGTTGAGAATTGTTGGTCGGAAGGGGAATAAGCACATATAAACGAGATTTTGTTTGGGGATTGAATTTCTATGGCTAGGGAGGAGATAACGGAGTGGGGGATGGGAACAGTGATGTGGGGAATGCTTCTCTTAACGAGGATAGCGACTCCCTGTTTATTGGATGTGATATGAGGAAGATTGAAGAAATGACCTATATAGGCTTTTGGGGTATAGGGGAAAGCATTGTATGGAATGTGAGTTTAATTTAATAAAATGATAGAGGGATTAATTTTTTTTATTAGAATTTCAAGGTGAATGTAATTGTTATGGTAACCATTTATATTCCATTGTATTAGAGATATCATCTCATAAATACAAATGTGATATAATGATGTTTATGTAAATTAATTATTAGGAAGATTCGAAGAATTGATGGTTGGTATGTCTGAAGACTGATCGAAAGAATTTGATGAAGGGATAACAAAGTAGTCGTTTTTTTGAATGAGCTGTTGGGTGAGATTTGAGATAGGCGAAACATTAGGAGAAGGGTCAGGAGGAGCTGTGTAATCTATGGGCATTGGAGCGCTTGCAATTGATGTTTTGGCAGTTGCGAGAGAGTTGACGAAAGTTTGAATAGAAGGGGAGAGGAGAGAGTTGCAATTTGCTGAAATTGGTTCGATGTTATTGTATTTTGAAAGATTTTTTTGTGAAGGAGGGGATGAAGTTGTTTGCTTGGGGATGTTTTTAGATGAGGATGGAATGTTGACTTTGCTAGCAGTAATGCCAGCGAAGGAGGAAGGCGAAGATTGTTTAGGTAGTTGTGAAGAGTAAATTTCTTTAGCTTGCTTAATGGTACATTTTCGTTGCGTTTTGATTTTTAAGATTTCTTTTTGTTGGAGGAATCTAGGGCATTTGTTGAAGTTAGCGGTGTGGTCGGCATCGCAATTGGCACAATTAATGCGAGTGCAATCTGCATTTGGATGTAGGGGGGAGGTTACACAATTCACACGTGGGATTGTTTCGACAATGTTTAATTGTATGCCCCAGCCGCTGGCATTTTTTGCATCGCATTGGGTTGGGGAAGTACTCTCTTAATCGTTCCTTGCGCCAAGAAATTTTGATGATTTCAGGTAGCCGATAGAGGTCGAAAGTGAGTAAAACTACTCCGCTAGGAAACATTTCGTTATTAGTTTTTTTAATGAATTTATACGCCTTAGTGACACCTTGAGAAGCAAGCTCTTTAGATATTTCTTCATCTGATAGATGATTTAGGTAAGGGGCATAAACCGTTCCTTTCACAGAATTTAGATTTTCATGAAATTTGCAGTTCACTTGACATATGCCGGGTATTTCTTTAATTGAAACAAATTTGTCTGCAGTTTTCTTATCTTTTGCTAAGAGTAGTAAGCTACCATCTTTTAGCTCTGATTTAATTTCGATATCACTGCTTATTACTTGGAGGGATCTATGCACAGCGAAGCACGAATAATGTGAAAGAGGTTTTTTATCATTTGCTGCTGATATGATCAGATATTTGGGGTTAGGTAATGGTGTTGTAGGGTTTGGTAGAGTTGGGAAATCTGTGATAGGGGATGAAGGACGTTTCTTTTTTTTGGAATGGGAACTGGTTGCCAACGGGGCGAACCGATTGTCCCCAAAGGTGAAAGCCCCGGGGGGCATTTTTACACTCCACTTGTCTCACTACACCAAATATATGGAAACCACGTGTAATTAAATGCGTAACTAATTGCGGTGAAGTTGTTTTTGTGTAACGAAGGATTGGTAGAAAGAAAACTAGAAAAAAATATGAGAGCGCAGTCGAAAGAGTACCGTACACGATGAGGGCTAGTCGACGACTGAATTCTATTTTAAAATTTGCATAATTAATGTAAAATCATTTCTACATTGGTGTTACTAGAGCCTGTGTTTTCTTTTTTTTTTTTTGTATTCTACTAAAAAATACTTTTCAACTATTTGGCTAGGCAGGCGTTGCAGAAAAACAATATAAAAATTTGTGTGTAAATAAATTATATTCTCTTAGATATTTAACCCTGGGCGGGACCAACATCGGCTTCGCCTTGCAAAGTGATATTAAGAAAAACTCCTTTGTAAGTTTGAGGCCTTCGGCCGCGCTTTCGAAATATATAACATTTGGCCGGACCAACTCCGACTTCGCCGTGCACAGCCTGTTATGCAAAAAATTTTGTTATGCAAGTCTATTTTGCATGCATATTTTTTGTTAATTCTTCTATATTTGTTACACATTACATAAACACCTCCCACATAAGACTGAAGCCATATTTAAGTTAGTATTTGTTTACTCGTAATGGATTTTTTAATGTTTATTGAAGTTATATTGAGCGCTAATTTAAACAAAATAAGTGAGAACAGTTAATCAAATCGAAGAGTTGTGTTCGTTAAATACAAATTAAATAGTGAATATTTCATAAAGAAACTAAGTGATTAAGTTAACAATTTTCACAACAAATAACTTATAAATTATAATATATTTAAATTTTTTAATTGTTAAAATATTGGAAAAAGATACGGGTGAGTTCTAAAACGTCAGTTGCCAAGCAACCATACATTATCACACATTCCCCAATACCGCCTGCGGGTTAGGGGCTCAAGAATTTACCCGCGGTAAGGCATGCCTGTCGTAAGAGGCGACTAAACCCCAATATATTTGCGGTTACAGCAACAACAACAATAACAACACATTCTCAAATGCAACTGTGCAAACTTTGACGATGAATCATGTTCCAAAATGCATCGGTATAGCTATTGATGCGCAAATTTTTTAAACACTATAGCTTTTCAAAATTTCAGAGCTTGTAAAAAATTGTTGCAAGGCGATTTTAAAAAATGCAGGGTTGCATTGTTTCGCAACCGCATCATTGTCTAAATTTACATGGAGATACTTTTGTCGCTTATTATCATAATATTCTTTTTTAGATCTATTTCTAAAAAAACACTATGTTGTGTTTTTACATTTGATTATACATCAACTGTACCCTTTCCAAAGTATAACCTAACTACATATCTTATCCTTTCATTATCGTCAGAGTCAATCTCTGCGGCTTCTCTAATAATTCTGGAGTGCAATTCTGTAACTTTTATCGACACGATTTGTGGGAACGCAAAGCTCCGAATTTTGTGGCCTGCGCTAACGATTATGCGATTCTCTAACTCAGTTTTTACAATAATCGCCAACGGACATGTCCATTTTATTAACATGAAGGAAAGGTGGCACCACAGCTAAACAAAACGCCAAAATATGCGAAACGCTCGAAGAGGAATGTCAAAAACAAATTAATTTGTTATAGAAATTATTTTTATTAAATGAATAGCAATGCATTATAAAGTTTATCAAAAAAAAAAAGCCTGTTATATCTTTCATGCATGACTCCTCGCTCTATAGAGGAGCTCCAAATAAAATCATCTTTCTTTTCTGCTCATTTTTCCATATTTTGTTCTTTACATTTAATGGAAATATAATTCATACATCAAAACATAAAAAGCAATCTACATACTATGTGAACAACGTCAAGTGCTTTGAGCATATCGTGTAACTCTAATTGGGTATATTGATATTTATTCATGTCTATTAAAACCCACAATACACTTATTATTGATCCATTATGAAGCGATTGTATGCCCCATTTATCTAAGGTAGCGCTCATTGCATACGTAAGAATTTGTACAAAGCTGCACAGCTCGAGATCTGTGGTTTAGACGCTACCTAAACAAAATAGTTAAAATAAAAAATTACAATTCAAATAAAACAGTATGATTTCTACAATTAACTTTATGGCATAGTAAGTGCACCAAGCCGCTTACCATTTGTAACTTTAATGAGCGAGACCCCAATAGTATAATTAGTAGGTTTTGTTTATTTAAATGAGTAATTACGGTTATAAAAACTGTTTAAGAAATTTTATCGGATCTAAACTAATTTTTGTTGAGTGCTTGTACACATCTCCAGAAAAGTTATCAGCTGATCGCTGGAACTCACTTTTCGCCTAAGTTTTCAGACGAGCTTTGTGGTACTCTCGGTACTGAATTGCAATTGATACTAAGATCACAAAAATAGTATCAATCAATTTGTGAATTAGTGGCTATCAAATAACTGAATGCCGCTGTGAATATGCAGAAAAATAAAATACGAAATGTTGACCCTCAAATAAAAATAAAACAAATTGGAACCACACCATCACTTTGCACAGTATTCTTAAGTGAAACTCCTTTGTAAATTGGAGGCCTGCGGCCGCGTTTTGGATTGTTACTCTGGGTCGGACCGACACCGGCTTCGCCCTGCACATTATTTTTAAGTAAAACTTTTATTTTCAATCATCTTTTATGCGCAATTCTCATTTTATTTTTCTTGGATATAGTTATAAATTTTTGCTCACAGCATTTAAACTATAAATTTTCGTGCAATAAAACTAAAATGTTTAATTAATTAATATATTTGGTAATTGAAAACCTCCATAAATTCCGAACATTAAAAAAAACCCCAAACGCCAAACTTAAGTCAATGCGAATGTTTGTCCCTTTGTCTTGCATTTTTTTCTTTTCGGAATTAAACATATTTTCATAACAGGGCAATGAAAAGTCTGTGCTATTAATATAGTTCATGACAGTATCCGTGTATACCAAAAATATGAATGACATTAAATTTACTAAATTTTACAATTTTTCGAGATATAGTGTTTTATAATTTTCGATAATTACCCTCGCTTTTATATATCTACGAAAATAAAAGTTTGCACCAAAGGAGAACAGGGCGGACCTTATCCACTTTTTAGTTTGTTTTACCTTAACGGTCTGTATCCTGCACTTATGCCCAAAATGATTTTAAATATTCTTACCATGGTTCTGATATGTAACTAGTATGTTTGTTTAACGAATCATATTTTTGCAAAAGATTGTGTAGCTCGGCTCCGTCACCCGTTCTAAAATCCGACAACATGTGTAAAGTGGTTTCATACACCTTCTTTTCCGATATTGGTTTTAAAGCAGCAAGGAATCGTTCAATTGTTAATTCTAATTTTGGAATTGGTAAACGTGGTAACGTTTCTTGAAAATAAAGAGTAGGTAACTTCGATCGCTGCAAAAATTGATATTTGTTTAATTCACTAAACGAAGATACCGATCTTTGACATAATCCTAACTGGTATGTCGTGCCCAACTTTCTAACTGATTTTATAAACTTCAACATAGTACTTGCTTTATGTTTATAACATATCCGTTTATTAGCTAAAGATTGCGCGCTAACTCCACTTGCAGTTGTTTTTACAAATGTTAACATTAATAATTATGCTGCCATTACTCATCTAACATGTCTTCCGTCCATATCACCCGACTGAAGAAGCGATGTGTATACACGTGTTATCGACCCTACTTACAGTGGCGATATGTTGACAGCTACCGGTGTGTTTACACACTTTTGCACAAATTTATAATTTTCAACAAACTTCATAATTCGAATATAGACGAAAATCAAATATACATGTTCTCTATGGTAACATATATTTAGTCACGAATTTAGTTTTCATATCTTTTGAAAAAACTACGAATTATCTTTGATTACAAAATATTACTTTAAAAATAACTTAACTGGCAACCTTGTTTAGCAACGAGAAATTAGCCAAGCCGGTTTACCGGAAACAATCAAATCGCCGTTGGTTTCCGAAGGACAACCGCCAGTAATGGCGTGGGCAAGCGATGACAACTTTGTGTTACATGGCACTCACTAAGATAACTCGCTATGTACGGAAGTTATGTAAGATAACTACCCATCCCACCCAGCATAAAGGTAACCCTAAATTGGAGCTTTCGATGTTACCTTTTTCAACGCCATTGATACCATCTCGTTAACATAAATAAGACTGATGACGTTTTAAAGTTTTCTTCTTAACTTGATAGCCTGTTTCAGGCAAGCGTAATGCTGCAACTACCAAACTCGCTTACCTTCCATTTAGAGCAACCTATCCTATGAGAGCGCCATGTGAACCCACTGTTGTCTTTGCTTGCCTATGCCGTTAGGGACGGTTGTCCGGCAGAAAACAGCGTCGATTTGATTATAAGTGTAGAATAAACGAGTTAATCGATATTGAAGGTTCTGGTTTTATCGCTCTAGAATGTACTAGTTATCGGCTTCTCTCTTTCATCTGACATTCGCTTTGCATTTTCGCCACACTGCCCTCCACCTAAGTCTGATCGTCACGATCAGACACATTCGCTGTTCCAAACTCAGCAAGCCACCCTAGGTGGACCAGTTTCATCTTGTTTTTTGGCCCCCCAAAAATTTGGATTCGATACACTACGTCGTGTAGTCATTTGATTATCTTGTATGGACCTTCCCAATTACATTGAAGTTTTGGGGACAAACCCCTCTTCCGTTGTGGATTGTACAGCAACACCAAATCTCCATATTGGAAACCATCGCAGTTCATCGCATTGTCATACCTGGCCTTCATTTTGTCACTCAAAATTTGAGTTCGCTGTCTCACAAGAGCAGGGTCCGGTGAAACGCTCTACCATACCATCTGATTGAGGATGTAGAGCGTCGTTCGGATTTTTCGAATACCAAGTATCTGGCACATCTCCTGGAACACCGCCGATTCAAAGTTTCTTCCCTGATCTGAGTGCAATTCTATAGGCGCATCGTATCTGGTAGCCCAATTTTTAGTGAATGCATCCGCAATTGTTTTTGCTTCTTGGTTTGGGATTGGGTAAACTTCAGGCCATTTACTGAAGTAATCCATAACCACAAGAACGTATTTGTTTCCTTCTTTGCTAATAGGGAACGGACCGGCTACATCCATGGCAACCCGCTCAAATGGTGCCCCTGCGTTATACTGCTTCATCTGCCCATGACTCCGTGCTTTTAGCAATCCACTTCCCGACCGATCGCCGACAGCCAACCCAATAGAACTGCTGCTTGATCTTTTCTAGCGTTTCTGTAATACTTAATTGCCCTCTAATAGGACCGTTATGGAATTCCTTAAGAACATCCAAAATTCTTAACTCCGGAACAACTATAAGCTTCCGGGAGCACTGGCCATCTTCATTTTCCCGCACTTTCCGCAGCTATTTGTTCCTTACTTCGTCGTCTATTTACCTCCAACCCGTGCATTGATAATTCTAAATCTGGATCTTCTTGCTGACATTTCCTTTAGTTACTTGCCTCTCACTCTTCTGCTTGCGTAACTCTCATAAGCCGGACGTCTAGTATGTCTTCTTTACCCTCAGCTTTTGAGCAATGTTTACATTCTATATAACATAGCTATCTTCACCAGTCCCCGTTTTCAATATTGCTCAAGGTTATGTTCTCACTTCTTAAGCGATCAGATTAGTTCGAATGATGGAGTGCTATGCGCCCGTGTCTACTGTTAATATTCGCTCTCGTCCATCGACATATCCACCAATAGTACTTTTGCTCGGTTTTCTGCCAGTGGCTTACGCCACTTTAGACTGGCTCGTCTTAGTTTAACGATTGAGAAGTTGATGGTTCATCTTCCTCTACCTTTCGTTTTTGCTGTACCTCCTGTCTGCTGGAACTCGTTTTGCATTCGCTCTCGTCCATCGACATATCCACCAATAGTACTTTTGCTCGGTTTTCTGCCAGTGGCTTACGTCACCTTAGACTGGCTCGTCTTAGTTTAACGATTGCGAAGTTGATGGTCCATCTTCCTCTGCCTTCCGTTTTCGCTGTACCTCCTGTCCGTTGGAACTGGATTTGCATTCGCGTGCGTAGTGACCAGGCTTTCCACATTTAAAGCACTTTCCCGTTTGAGTTTTGAGACCAGAACGATTCATCTCCTTTAGCGATTTCAGAATTCTCAATATTTCCGTCATCACATCTGGTGTTTCAACCTCCACTTTATTGACTTTGTAAGATGGTCTGCTTATGAGTGCAGCCGTTTCACGTGTCTGTGCATACGCAACAGTTTCAGCGAAAGTCAACTTAGGATTCGCGTATGTCTCTCGCTTGGTGTACACGTCTTTTATTCAGCTGATGAATCTTTGTATCTTCACCCTTACTAGATGCTGACCCGATGTGTCTACAATGGCTAAATGAGACAATCTCTCAACTGCCGAAGCATATTCCTGCAGAGATTCGTTGGATTTTTGGTCGCGCTTTTCTTACTCCATCTGGTAAATCAGTCTTCGTAATCATTTCTCTCGATTACGGATATGATTTGCAAAAGTTCGGCTGCAGGTGTTTCCAACGCAACGGATAGTGCAGTGGATTTTTTCTCTATGCTCCAGTTGTTTGTTTCAGCTGTCTTCTCAAATTGAAGCGGTTGGACGATATAGCTGCACTTCCCGGAAACGACTTACCAATGCGTTGACTTTGGTCTCAATTAGATCCTGCCTTTCCTTAAATTCCGCATTGTTCTTCACCAGATTTTTCTATATTTGCGCCATTTGTGATGTAATGTTGGCATTTTGTGCATCCATCTTTTGTGAGATGCTGGCTCTCATTTCAAACATATTTTGGGAGATCGCAGTCATTAACATGTTCATGTTAATATTCTTAGATGAGCCAGGAGCCTTTTCTTCATTCTTATTTGATGATGATTCCAACTCCTTCACAGAATCATTAGCCTCTTCCTTGTCAATGTCCTTCACGGATACATCTTCATCCTCGCGATGGAACTCGTACTGGTTCAAGTCGATGCCTTCAACTTTCATTGCTTCTCGCAGTCTCGATACCAGCTCTGCCTCATATCCAGTTGTCGATAATCCTCGCTTTGCCAACTTCCTCTTGAGAGGAGGTATCGTCAAATCCTGAATCTTTACCATTTTGTAAATATTATCCTTTATGATTTATTTAACAATCCTACTTCTGACACCAATTGTTACGATTTTGCTGAATAAACCTCTATGATTTTCTGAATCTTTCGGGTACGATCTTTGGATTGTTAAATCAAATAACGCCTACTTAATTTGATGTTTCTTTCGTTACAAAGAATTTTTCTAATGTCCTTTATTTACTCAGTAATTCACAATTCAATCACAATGCACTTTACTAGTTAAAATCACTTGTATAAACTTGCACAATTTAGTTAACTTAACGTTTACTTTACGACTCAATATGAACAAATAGTTTATTCTGCTATACTCTATACTAATGTTGTCGCCAACGAGTTCACTTTGTCTCTCCTTCTTGGCAGCTGAGTATCGCCCTTATATAGTAGTCGGCTGCTCGTAGACGAAGGTGTAGAATAATCGAGTTGTTCGATATTGAAGGTTCTGGTTTTACTCTAGAATGTACTGGTTATCGGCTTCTCTCTTTCATCTGACATTCGCCTCTCATTTTCGCAACAATAATCCGCATTTTTTATAACATTTCTGAACAGTGCCACTGTGATTAAAAAACGACTTATTTGGATTTTGAGGTATATTTTAGGTATTTTATTTCAAACAACGACGTCCTTAATTGCAATTTCACTAAAATATTTCATTAAGAAAAAATTTAATATTTAATTATATTAAGTTTTAATAATAAATTTACAATAAATTCTTTAATATATCCTGCCGAAGCAAATTTCTTTTGAAACAAAAACAATGGATTTTTTTTATTGACATAGAGGCACTGGTGCGTTTTGCACATCGGTTTGGAAATTCTCTATCGTATTATAATGATTTTCGCATCGTTCTAATGACTTAACGATAATTTTAACGATTTTGCTATTCTCTAAGCACAGTATGACGATTTTCGTATCGCAAATTAGACTTCGCGATATTTTTAACGCTATTCGCTATTTCTAAAATGGTCTAACGATTTTCGGATCGCAGACGAAAGCGTAGAAGCATCGAATTGTTCGCTATCGAAGGTTCTTGTTTTATCGTTTCTAGAATGTACTAGTTATCGGCTTCTCTCTTTCATCTGACATTCGCCTCGCATTTTCGCAACAATATTTTTAACGATATTCGCTATTCTCTAAAATGATATAATGATTTTCGGATCGCAAAGAATTAGCGCTATTTTGAATGATATTCGCTATTTTCTAAGAATAGTATAACGATNCGATATTTTTAACGATATTCGCTATTCTCTAAAATGGTATAACGATTTTCGGATCGCAAAGAAGACTTAACGATATTTTTTAGCGATATTCGCTATTCTCTAAGAATAGTATTACGATTTTCGGATCGCAAAGAAGACTTAGTGATAATTCTAACGATTTTAATATTCGGTGTACTCGTTTTAACGATATTCGCTCTCGCTGTCGTCGTAAACTACTCGAAAAATCGCTAACTAAGCGACGAATATTTTTAAGTTGTTAGTGATATCGACAAAATTTTGTTATTTCATTTAAGAGAGTAAAATGTTCGGGAAATTGTCTAAGTTATGCATAAATGAAATTAAAAAAATA